GTGCTAAAAAGACGTGCAAATCTTTTGAACTTTTGTGTTTTCAAATAAGATAACTGCAGCAATTTCCATACTATATTGTTCATGATAATCACGTACTAAAATTCGGTAATAGACTATAATAGTTATACAAATTCTAACAACATGTTAATAATTTTTTGTAAAAAAAATTAAAATTGAAAACGTGGTGCACTGGTGCCGTTGAGATGTAAAGGTACGCGTAAAGTCTACAGTCTACACCAGGAGTCTTCAACCCGCGGCCTGCCCTGTCATAATATGCGGCCCGCGATCATATTTTAAATTTAGCATGCACATTTTCTAGTTCAATAAAATTATAACAGTAAAGCTATCGCTATTGGAAATATGCGATATAAAAAATTTGTAATTTTAAATGTACCTACCTAATTTTAAAAATTGTAATAATAAAACTAAATTTTTATATAAAATACATGTTTTTACTACGAATGCGGCCCCCAAGATGATTTAAAAAAAAAAAAAATAATATTTTGTCCGCTGCATAAAAAGGTTGAAGACCCCTATATCGACTTGAGGTATGTAGGTGAATTTAAAGAAAAAACTTTATTGAAAAAAAGGAACAAAATGTAATGTTTATATTATGGGAGTGCCACGATAATCTTAATACATATCTATATGGATTTCAATATTTTGAAATTGCTTTAAGAACAACTTAGGTATGTGAGAACTTGTATTAAATTCTATTATTCACTGAAACAAAAATATTTATCAGCACATTTGTGTTAATTAAAACATTTCAAATACTTATATATAGTTCTTAAAATTTGTCTAAACATTTAAAAAAATATAGTGTATAAAATGATAATTGAAGTAATAGTGCAACGTTTTGAAGTCTAGCGATAAATATTTTTTGATATTGAATAATAACTATATGTAACTATATGTAACAAAAATCTGGGGTAGTCTTATATATTATTTATTTAAATAGGTACTCAATTTTGTTAACATTTGAACTTAAGTCACTCATAAAAAGTTTTAGGATTTTACTCTATATATTTTTCAATTCCCAAACTTATGATGACTATTGAATCAATTTTGATAAGTTTTTTTTATTAAAAAACGACAAAAACAAAGATTTAATCGTATCATCTAGATAGGATAAAATACATTTTTGTATAGATGATTTTTTTTTACAGATTGCACTGAACAACGGAACCAAATCCAATGGCCACTTTAAACGATAATGCTCCAACCATTAATTTAAAAATCTTGAAGCGATGCGGTTTTTATCAAATGTTTGCTCCAAACCACAAAAAGATGTTTGGTTTGAATGTTTACCAGCTTTATTTTATTGTATTAACCGTGTTAACCCAGTGTATAATTAGTATGGGGAATTTAGGATTATTGTTTGATTTGGAAGACACCATTAACAGCGTTGATTTATTTCTGGTCATATTCTCTACCTCATTTAATTATCTTACCGAGTGGAAAGTGGCCATACTTGTGATTAACAAAACCAAAATTCTGGAACTTTTGGACGTTACAGATTTAAAATTTTTGAAGAGCAAACTGTGTCGTAATAACATTAAAATATTGTACAAATATCGTAGCAAAGCCTTACAATTAACAAACTTATTTCACAATTTTTGCGTTTTTGTGATTGTTGAATGGATTGTCTTTCCGATAATGATAAACTCATTTTTATCGTACAAAAATGACAATCAGCGCTTAGAGAACATTATAAACAGGCAATATCCTGTAGATGTAAACACTTTTAATAAGTATTATGTGCTGTTTTACGTATTCGAAATAATAATAGGAATTAAAACGGTATACTTAGTGTTGCTGATCGACATATTGTTATTGTCTATTGGTTGGGGGATAATCGTTCAATACGAAGTACTGGCTGTAGCGTTTAAGAACATCGGGCATAATGAAAATATTCAAAAGGGTGAGACTATAATTTTTGACTAATATTTAAAAATAATATGAAATAGTAATATTTTATATACACAATTTCATTATTTAATTATAATGTATAGTAAAACTTTCTGTAAAATAACATACAAAATTAATAGGATAAAGAGACCACGAGACGATTAAAGATATTACAGTGAAACCTTTAAATGCTGGACACTATCAGTCCCTAAAATTGTGTCTGTTATTCGAAGCAAGGTGTACGCTATTMAAAAGATTCAGATTAAAGACAATTTGTAGTTGGTTGATGATTCCCAACTCCCAGTAAACGTCAACTATTAGAGTGTCCGTTAGAGGAAGTTGTACTGTATTTGCCTGTTCTTAATCGCTATAATAATCAATACAACTTAAAAGAAAGAAAAGTATATAAGACATAACCTCTAGACTCGTGATAAGCACTGTTATATGTTATTCTAGATAATTAACGAGATACAGCGAAACTTCCATATATTATAATGAACTTATATTTAACAAAATTCTCTGTTTAACCAAATGTATTTGAGAATCATGTACTTCATTATTACAATTAGGTTAGATTACTACATCTATTTAACGAATTATATTCCTCTATATTAAGATTTTTTATTGTTCCCCGTGTGACTTCATTATAGGTATGGCAGTTTTACTGTACAGTGAAACCTCTAAATACCGGACACTCTCGGTCGCTTAAATTTCGTCCGCTATTTGGAGGTGTCCGCTATTAAGAGGGGAAATACAGTACACATTTTACCGTCCCCAAAATTCCGTCCGTTATTCGGAGGTGTCCGCTATTGAGAGATTGTCCGTTAAAGAAGGTGCCACTGTATTATGAATCCTTATAGAAATTGCAGAATAACCCGTTTGATGATCTCCGTGTAAAAACTAGGAATAAGTCAAAACATTAATAAAAGAAGTGTATTTATTCTGTATTGGTTTTAAAATGTAAGGAATTTTTTACTATTCACATTTCGCACCTAATTTTAGATAAATAAATAATACCTAATGCATAAATTATTTATATTTTAGTAATAAGTACCTAATAATAAATTAGATTTAAGCGTAGGTAATAAAAATAAAAGTATTACAAAATTCCTATTTATCCTCCTTTCCTACCGTCATTTTAATAATACCGTTAAAAAGAGTAGTACAGCTCATAAATAAAAGCTAAAATAAGACCTTATTGACAGTGGTGTAGCCAGGGTTGATAAAGAAACCATGCCCCTCCCCCCCATTCCTCAACTATAAACCAATTTTTTTTTTTATTATTGATTTTATAGCAGTACGTCCATAGGGTATAAAAAATTACAACTTACAAGTAGTCATATATTCTAATAGTCATATACCTAGTATAATATAATATACGAATAATTATTACCTGCAGTGATGATATGATGTATTATAATAATATAATTAATATTATATTATAGCGATAGAAATTGTATTAATAGCTGTGGTAGTAAAACATTGAGTAATTATAACTGTAAGCATAGCTAGTAGATAATATGTACTAAGTATAAGCTATTTTTTTATTGTAAAATACTCGTCACACATATTATGTACAACAAATGAATTTTTATTATTATTGTACATGTTTGCGATAATCGTATATGCTACCGCTCATGCTGATTGCGGCAGTCCATGCTGTCCAAGTTATAGAGTTGTCTCTCTGTAATTATTAGCTGTTACCTATTTGCTTCTCGTATACTATAAATTTATCTATTAACTCAAGTATGACAAAGCAAATAACATATGACTTATCCAAATCTTTGAATAATATAATGCCATTCTAGTATAGATGCTTAAAAATTATTAAAGGAAAAAATAAAAAGTTCTATCTCAATAGCTTTTGAACTTGAAGTTGAAAAACGCATGCCTCGAACCTGTGGGAAACAAGCTGTCCGAAACAATATTAATGCCAAAGACTTGGAGAAATATTATAAAATAGAAATATTTATACGATTTCTTGATAACCAATCTAATTACTCAGTAGTCAGTTACATTCGACTAATTGAGATTTGTTAAAATACTAAACACAATTATACCACTAGAAGGATCAAGAGGACTCATACCACATAAATTCTAATTTTATACGTCATGGTGATTGATGAGTGATGACCAATTAATATTAGCAGCTATAAGACGATATCCTATTTATATGAAAATGGTTTTTTAATTAGTATGAATTTTTATTTGAAAGCAAAGTTATTCATATGGTCCATATTTCCGTAAGGAATGTCAACTGAAAGAAAAATTGCCAGACTACTGTAAAATAATTTTATACTACACAAAGATTTTTCCAAGTATAAAGAAGATCCTTCAATTATTTGCAACTCCGGCTGTAACATTGGAACGTACCTACCTACATCTTCTAGTCTTAAAAGACTAAAAACATATTTAAGAGCTATAATTAAGAAAGATTGAATGGTTTGGCTTTAGCTTTAAGTACGGTAAATAAATATAAATTAAAATATGAAAACACTGAAAAATAAATATTGACTTTTATTAAAAAAATCTCCAAGGAGAACAAAAGTTGTTGAATATGTTCATCTCAGCAGGATGTATTTATTATTTTATGTGGTCTTATAATAAGTACCTATACTAATTATGTCTAGTTTTTTATATTTATAATGGAAACAATATAAATTTAATTTTTGTAAGGTTTTTATTTACCTTCCCTTTTTAGAAATCCTGGCTATGCCACTGACCTCATATGTCTAAGTTCTATACCAGAGGTCTGGAACCTGCGGCTCTTTAACATGTAATCTGTGRTTCTTTAAAATATGCATCCGTAAAATACGAATTGTATTTTTAAAATGACAAAATACTACAGCTACAAAAAAAAAGTTGTTTGATTCCTGGACCGAACAACCTGTGTATGGCTCTCTGGAGTTCATGGTTTAGTAATACTTTTAAAAAAAAATGACTCTTATCTACGAAAAGGTTCCTGACCACAAATTTTTAGTAACTATTCGATATGTCGAATACACCTATTAGTAGCATAGATGTAATTTATTAAATTGAAAAATATAGGATGTGATAATACCGATTACATACATTTTATTTTTCAGACCATGGCCATGATGTAAGTGATTATAATTCTTTTAGATCGATTTTGTTTGATCTACAACAACTTGATTTGTAAGTATATTTTACGATAAAGGTAATATTATATAAAAAAATAAAGTATATTATATTTACAAATTATACATAGGTAGTAATAATGACTAATAATAATGCAATAACTATTACAAAGGGTAAGTTTRCTTTACATTCTAAACGGAGTGTTTAATGTAGGTATTGGTTTTAGATAATTGACGTGTTTTTTTCTATTTTCCTGATTGCCAACTCTTTTTGGAACAGAAATACTTAGATTTTCAACTTTGAGCGTTGTTTCTGGTTAGGTTAAGTCTGAAAATTTAATGTAGTTGTAGGTACATAGGGTAGGGCAGTAAAAAAATTCAATGTACTTTTAAAATTATCAGTAAAAACAAAAAAAAAATATAGGTAAACACGACCATTGGGTACTTACTTATACCTATTATGTTTATTTAAATATTTCTTGTTTTTCTTTTCAATTAAATATAATTCGAAATAGTTTAAGTATAAATTATATAATCTTAAGATTTAAAAAGACAATTTTTTATGAATTTAGCAAGCTTAAAATAATTTGCGAATTTTCGTGGTTTTTACGTATGTTGTCACTTGTCAAAATTCAAACTGTGAATGCTTGTAAAAAAAAATTGTGGCTATGCATTTCTTTTATTTTTCAACTTTTATTGTAACAATATGTTTGGTGCTTTGTATTAAATTTTCGAGCTTTTCTACACAACAAATAAATTTAATCGATATTAATCATAACATTATTAAGTATCTAAACAACAACCTAAATAAAAATAATTTTTAATAATTTTTACAGGAAAGTAAAATTATTCATGACCATCATGAAGCCTATTGTTTTAATACATGTTGCTATTAGTTCCGGCTTATTTATAATGTTGTCAAACTCATTTTTAATGGTAATTTAACATATTTAAATATAACAATTGATAGCAAACAATTTATTAAACTTGACTTGTATTGTCAAGGACTAAATAAGTCAAGATTTCACTTAAATATCATTTAATAATGATTAAAAAAGTACAATTTTACCTATTAAATTTGTAGGTATTTTAATAATTTGTTTCTTTTCCTCATTAGCTTTTCTTAGCAAAAGAATCATTTACTTACACGATCGTGAACTTATTCAAGATTGGCACTGGGATTTTTTACATATGTTTACAATTACTACTGTATTGTCATTTATTTGATAATATTAACTTAAAGGTATATATCTAAATATTACAATAGGTTTAAATCAAATAATAGTAAACCTACATTACACAGAGAGAATTTGTAAACCTTGGAATCTATTCTTGCGATTGGACAATGAGAAATTTAAAACTTAAAAAGTTATTATTATTAACTATGAAAATTAATGATGCTAATCAAAGAACAATGAAAGTTTCAATGAGAAAAATAGTCAATTTAAATCTATTTGTTAATGTAGGTATTCACATATTGCTAGTGTATCAATAATGAAATACTATACTTGAACCAATGCTTTAACATTTCTATAACTATGTAATTTCAGGTTTTGACGACATCATACAACATTGTATCTGTCATGGTTAGAACATTGACCAAATAGACAGTCTAAAGAAAACATAATCTAATATTTTTCATGATGTTGACAGTTTTAGATGCACAAATAATTGTATTTTTAGTGGTAAACAAAATAACTTTAGCTTTTAGTAAGTAAACGAGCATATGTAATTGAAAAACCATTTTAAGGTCAATATATACACTTAGAAATTGTTAAATTTTATATAAATTACCAATATTAACAAAATAATTTACTATTTATTAAATTTAAGTACCTAAGTTATGAAACATTTTGTTGAATAGATATTATTTAACAACATGAGGTATTATACTGGTAGTGGATATAACACCTTATATAATTTAAAAGCTTTATTATACTTATTCAAAAATATATTAAATAATAATTGTTAACCGAACAATATGTGGTTCAATAAATTAAATTGATAATCTAATTGTTATCTTGGGTATAATATTTTAATCCACTAACTTCTACAGTAAACATGATTTTTTTTAGAGAAGGCAGTTAGTAACAATACACTTCTTATTTAATACTTATTTACTATATTTGTAGTATAACCACAGAATAGATTAAATAACTACAGACCATTCTATCATACAAATAAAAAATTTTTTGTTTATATGGTAAATATAGTTAAATACTTACCTAATAAACATATATTAAATATATATGAACTCTAATTATTCATAAAATAATCCAAAAGGTGAAATGTTTCAACAAATCGTGCAGCGTATAATGCAGGCAGGTAGTAGGTACCAAACAGTTTATTACTTCATCATAGATACCACAAAACTGTAGCTTTTGTGACCTTTTTTCAGATTTTATATTAATGAAATAAGATATAAAAATATTTTTATAAAAAACACATGTTTACAAGAAAATGATATTTTAACAAGATTTAATAATTAATAAAAACTTAAGTATTAATGAGTTTTAGTAACCACAATTTTAACATCTCAACTTTCATGTGATGAAATAAAATTATACTTTATTTTAACTTGTATTCAGTTCATTTACATTGGATTATTTGTCTTCCTCACTTGATTTTCTTGACTGTTTAGATTTATTTATCAATGTTTTATAAATGGACATGGCCTATATTAAATAAAACAATAATTTGTTTTAACTAAACCCTACTTGACAATCATGTAATTATTCAAATATAGTGAACATAATTTACCTGTGTCACCATTGATGAAACATCTGAAGTGTTGCTAGGGATAATAACAGTATTTGTAGATTTGGCTAATTTTCCAAAAGCTTCTACGTATGATTCAGCTATTTTAAGAGATGCCGCATTATAACCATCCTAAAATGACAATAATATTCTTAGAATCTACAGAAAATAACAGCCAATAGTCAAATGATTATAATAATTTCAGAATTAGGTAGTTATTATTTTTTTTATTAGTATTGGTCTAAAAGACTTTTAGTCACATGTAATTTATTACAAAAAAAGTGTTTGAAATAAAACATTATATGTACTAAAACTTAACTGTTTGTTTAAGAGCATCAGCTATCAATTGTATTCCTTTGGCTTTGGCTTCAGCCACTGCTAACAAAGCATTGGCTTCTCCCTTTGCTCTATTAATTTGCTCTTGTTGGTCAGCCTCTGCATTTAGTATTTAAAAAAAAGATTTAATACCCAATAAGAACATATAGATTCCAAACTTTTACCTGAAGCTAAAATTGTTGATTGTCTTTTTCCCTCGGCTACATTTATATGAGCTTCACGAATACCTTCAGAATCCAGAATAGCAGCACGTTTTTTTCTTTCAGCTTCCACTTGCATTTGCATAGCTTCTTGTACTCTATTAGGAAGCTTTATATCACCTAAATTTAAAAAAAAATTATAATTTACATAGTATAATTATTAAAAATAACAAAAAAAAAAAAAAGAAGAATAGGAATATAAAACTCTTACGAATTTCATAACGGAAACATATTAGTCCCCATGATGCACTTGCTTTATTTAGACTTTCAACAATTGCGAAATTTAAATTTTCTCGTTCTCGAAAAACTTTGTCTAAAGATATTTTTCCCAATTCTGATCTATCAGATGAAAATATTAGCTTTAATAAATAATAGTAAACAATAAAAAGCAAAAAACATTCTAATAAACACTTGCGCTGTCAAATAAGTGTTTTAATTATTATTATTTTTTTGTTAATATATATATACACCCATTTTATTTAAAAAAAATTGAAACTGGTTGTTATGATAACATTCAATAGATTAAGTCTCAGTGGCGTGGCGAACTTCATTAAGTTATGAGGCACAGTTATATTGTCAGATCCACCACCCACCCCACGCAATAAAATATATTTATTCATTTAAATAATAATGCTTTTTTTAACACATCAGATGATCTTTGAGGACACTAACTACCCTTCAAACTAAGGCACGTGCCTCAAATATAGTCTTTTGTCACGCCACTGTTAAGTCTAATAACATTTTCATTAACATATAATTAACTGATTAAATTTGAATTTATCAATTTTGTTACCTCATTGTGGTTTGAGCTAATTGAGTAATTGCAAACTCTGGATCTTCCACTCCATAACTTGCTAAGTAAGGATCATTAACTTTTAAATATAATACACCATCAATATTAAGTGTAACATTATCTGAAATATAAATTATAAAATTAATATTTTTAAATTAATTATAAAATTAAAGTTTATTCTAACCTAAAGTCACAGCACTTTGTTTGGGAATATCAATGGCTAATTCTTTTAAACTTTGAACATAACCAACACGATCTAAGAAAGGTATTAAAAAGTTTAAGCCTGGTTCTAAAATTCGTTTAAATTTACCCATTCGTTCAACAATCCATGCCTATAACAAAATATCAAATTATTTTATTATATATTACACATAAAAATAAGGAAATAAAATGTAAATGTGTATCTCAGTTTCAAAATAAACATACTTATATAATATATTTAACTAGTATAAATTACAGTTGCTATTTGTTACAGAAAATGAAAATAACATTGGATTTGAACTTTTAAAAATTATCTTATAAAGTTTAACTTTATTAGTTTAAGAAAAAAAAGTGTATACTCTAATATAGTTCAACTGTTCAGTATTTTATAACTGATTATATATATAACTAAGTAATTTATAAGATAGATTTGATTAAAATAAAATAGAAAAACCCATATTAATTACTAGAAATTTATCATTCTCTATTTTCCATAAAAGCAATTTTATTTTAATATTTTCTGTTTTGCATGATGAATTTATGGTCATCTTACTATGAATAGATTAGTATTAAAATAAAAATAATAATAATAACAGTCATATATTTATGGATATTAAAATAATAAATATAATAATATGTAGTCTAGCCTCTTGCTGTGGAACAAATAGAATTCCAGTGTTGAATGGATTACTACTTTTAAACCTCGCCAATGCAATTGATGACAGGATAGACGGTTCTCTTGATAACAGTCTTTGATGCTGCAATTCAAAAAAATCATCATAAAGTAGCTAGTCAAAAGTTATATCAATCATCAATATATTATACAAAATCTAAATATTTTATGGTTAAATAACAACGGGCATCGATTGAACGAATGTAAAAATGATAAAATATATCACATCATACTGTCAAATGTTACCTTTGCAATAGTGGTGAATCGCATCAGATTAATTTTACAAACGAGCATGATTTCTGGTTATTTRAAAAGAATTGCTGTCAATTGTTAAGATAAAAAATTAGCGTTGACAATTGATCGAAACGATTATTAATAACGTGCGAAACTGAGAAAATAATAAACTATGRAATTGAATTAAAATAGTAAAATATACTAAAAAGTTGTGCTATATAATATATTCCTATTCCTATTTTTCAACATGATCAAAGGGAATGGGGAAACAAAATAGTAATTATTGATAAAAATAAATTGAATACTCAAAAAGCCGCATTATCAGTATTATGTTATCAGTTTAATCAGTGTCGGAAGAATTATCAAAACACAATAATATTATGATGCTGTAGCCTGTAGTCTTAAACTAAAATACGTTAAAAARTACTTATAAATATTAAAATAACYGYTTAATTAGTACAGAATTTAATATCGCCTAACTTTATTAGTAAATCAAAGAAGTTAAGACGCGGTTTGACATGGTTCATGTTGTTTCGCCAGTTGGCCATAGTGGAAAACTCGATAATTATTAAAGTTATCATCAGCGACGCGGTCCGCGGATATAAGTGATAAAGATAAACAAAAATTAGTAATATTATAATTTTTTTGTTCTTACATTTTAATTTTAATTTTTTTGTTATTACAAAATCGTACGGTAGTAGTGACGTAACYGCACAGTCATGCCGAAATATTATTGTGATTATTGCGATACGTACCTGACGCACGATTCGCCGTCAGTGAGGAAGACCCACTGCCAGGGTCGCAAGCACAAGGATAACGTCAAGTTCTACTATCAGAAGTGGATGGAAGAACAGGCACAGAACTTGATCGATGCCACGACGGCAGCATACAAAGCTGGCAAGATCGGCATGAAGGGAGTGTGCATACCGCCACCGAACATGGGCCAGCCGGCGCCACAAATGGCTATGCCACCAGGTTCGATCATGCCGCCCGGACAGATGCCCATGGGAGCACCGCCGATGATGTCTATGCCGCCAATGATGAGACCACCCATGGGACAGATGCCGATGGGTGCGCCTCCACCAATGATGCCCCCGATGCCACCAAACATGAGACCACCTATGATGACCAATCCACCTCCTAATGTCCAAGCTCAACAATAAAATAACTAAACTTTATTCATTCTCAACTGTACTGGTATCTTTTAAATCTTATGAATTATATTTGAAATTGTTCTTATTTACATGTCATGCATAAGAAATGTTTAACACACATGGTTTAAATAAAACAAATGTCTAGTGTTATTTGTTGTTTTATTTAGCAATACTTTCAGTAGGTATTTAGCTTTCCCTTAACAAAGATATTTTAATTTTAAACTTAGGTATGTTACCCATATGAATAGATATTATTTTRAAAACAAAGCTCCCGCTTGTTTAGGATTATATATTGTGGCTTAACACAATGAATGTGCATTAGAATGACTAAAATATGTAAATATCTAATAGTTCTTAAGTATTGTAGAAAAACATTTATAATCTTGGACATCACTTAGTTTTTATCTATGTATTAATCTGCTTGGTACATGTCACTATGTCAGGTTAATTTRGTAGGTATCTAGAAGCTTGGTACAGTTCAGTCAATTAGTAGGTTACAATCAATAATTAAAATTAATGGCAATGATCAATTTATTTTATTTCAGGTACACAAACTTGTTGGTTTGCATTATTTAGTGTAGATTATGTAGGTACTATTAGTAATTATGTTGACATCTTCAATTTGGATGTTTAAATGTTTCCGAGTTTGATCATCACTTATTCATAATATGTCTATTTGTGTAAAATGTTTATTTTTTAATATAAATTTATATTTATTTATTAGTTTTTAATATTTTATAATATAGGTAGGTATCAAAAACAAAAAAAATGTTAACTCTATAGGTAAGTATTTTTTTTTTATTGTTTTGTCGCATCATTTTGAGCTAACTACCTCAAAAATACAAAATGAAATGAATCTTAATATGTTAATAAAATAAATGATACAAATTAATTTTGATGACTAATATAAGACATAAACAACTGTTACTGAATAGATAGATGTTTAAGTAATAGCATTGATAGCAATGATACTTCTTTAAAAATATAATAGATATAATGGTAGTAATGGTACTTACTTGATAATTTTACACTAAATAGTATTTATCAATAGTAGCACCTATAATTGTGTAGTTATATCAGTAATAGGCTACAATTATTGTACTGTCAAAACACATACAAAAAGCGATTCTCGGATATATTGTATCGTCGTAGTTCATAAGTACCTACTAGTGTAGGCATAGTATGCATGGGGTTACATCCCCCACAGAAACTATTGTAGTCCCATCACGGTGTTTACTTTGTTTTAAAACATTTTATCTAAAATTATAGTTTTATACGTTTTATAACTTTACCTGAAATTCACCAAGACTTTAAATATTGCCGGTGTATAATTTAAAATTTTTATTGAAAATTATTGTACTTACATAAATGTACCTATTTATTTTTATCATAAACATATTTACTTATAGATCAACAATTTTTTTTTTTTATCTTTTATGTAATGTAAAATAAAACGTCAAGTTAAAAATGAGTCAAAGTACCTATATGTGCATAATTTTTTCTTGGAAATATTCTCTTTTCCTTCAATTCAAGTTAAATATAAGGAGTTTTTGGAATACATTTTTCTAGTCCTATGTAGCCACTAAAGATTATTATACTAGACTACGCCCATACCTAGGTAACATGTCACAAGATTTGTTCAGATAAAGAAAGAACTTGATAAGTCAATATGTATAGAATAAGTCACATGGTTGGTTCGTATCTTCTTCACTGCATAGATTGGATATTACCTATACCACACCGTCCACACCTAGCTATAGGTACCGGATGACTACATATCGTCGTGGGGAAATCGTAGCTCGGAACATTCGCTACCGTATTTCTCGGAATATAAGTGTAGGCTTTATGCTGCTGGTCGATGGTCATCAACCATTGCTCTGCATAAAGGAGTAAACGACTAACTAGTTTTCCGACATATATTTTCTAAGCCATTAAATCTGTAACAATTGATTTAACAATATGAACAAAAAAAAAAAAACGATAATATTTTTTGTGTACACTAAAAGTAAGTTTATTTATTAGATTCAGTCAGTCGCGGTAGCTTTCGCCACATCGGTATTCCTTTAGCCGCGTATTCGTCCAATTACGGCGGTCGGGCACTGAAACAACGTTCGAACATTTCCGTAGGTCCGATGACATCCGTTTTTCTATCCACATATAGTCTCCATACCACTAACAACGGGCCAAAGTCTCCACCGCTGCCGTCGTAAAATAAAACGGACTCGCGCCATTGCCGTTGGCACCTACCGCCGAACCGCAATCATTTCCAGCGCCGGCGCCGTCGTGACCGAACCGCAGTTGGGCGCCCATCGAGCCGCCAATGGTCTCGTGTACTCCATTTGAGCGACCGGGCGCGCCACTACGCGGATGGCGAATCTGTCGCGTTGCGAATGGTCGGAGAACGTGTGCGGGTGACTTAACGCGCGGCAGGCACCATCATCCGTGACCTGATCCTTTACGTCGCGTCGCCGTCACACTGTTCGATGTCCTCGGCCAAGGGGCGTTCGAACTTCAGGAGCAGTGGACGCTTTCGACTCGGATAACGCGTCTCACGGTCGCTGAAAATGATGCTGACGGAGTCGGGAGTAGTGAGCACAGTGGTTGTGGCCGTTGTACTCGTTGCAGGGATACTGCAGCTGTCGAATCAAGCCGGCCAACTCACCAACAGTGTCGAATATACTTTAGCTGGCATGTCCTCTTCATCCATGTCTTGCACAGCGGTCCGTCACCAGAAGTCGCAATGGACTCGRCTGGCTGCAACCCTGCTAACGGCGAGTTTCCTGTGGGCGACGCATAATCGCAAACTATTTTATTAATATCAGCGATCAACGACTTCTTCAACGGTGCTGTCGATTTCGGTTTCCTGCATGTCGTTTCTCATCGGCGTTCGAAATCGTTTCGAAGATGCTGTCAACGTTTCCATTATGACTGATTCGATAACAYCGCTCAATATACGCTTTGTACTATTTCGTTGATATAGTATAATATGTTCTTCGACGTTTGAAAGTGAATCGGTTGGTTGGAGGTCGCGAATACGGCGACGTGTAAACAAATGGAATACAGCAAATGAACTAGATTTCGATACATTCCGACACCGAGMCTGAGAAAACCGAAAGCTCCCAGCTGTTTATTATACTGGCCAGTGAGTATGTTCATCGTGCTTAGGTAAATCTGCCAGCGATCCGGATTTTGGGCGCTTTTATTTTTCTTAAGTTCGTCGAATGATTATCATTGATATAATATACTATTTTAACCAGAATTTCAGACATTTCAATTATTTTATCGTTTTATACTTGTAAAGTTGTAAGAGTGGTCTTTTTTTTWATCTATTTAAACATTTTACTTCTACAATTATTTGACTGCATATGACTTTTCCCTATGAAAAAAACATTATTTTCAATCATTTTATACTTAATACAAAGTCCAGCAAGCTCATATGATATTTCATCATTATATTTCTATGCTATAGTTAAATTTTAAAATTATTTAATAAATCATTTTTCTTGTATATGATAATATAATATGTATACTATATTACCATGGCCCAAACGACCTAGACTAAGAACTATATATTATAAGATGGCTATCAGGGACGAGGTTTTATTATTTGGTATCCYCCATGCAGTTCACACTATAAATATCATACATTTCACTATGCTTCATAACTTTACATAGGTACTCRTATTAAAATAAGAGTTATTTTTTTGTAAAGCTTAAAGATATAACTGGTATACTTAGTTGTAATATCCATATTCAATAAAATTTGTGTCACCTAAATCCTATTTTTATGTGTTATGAATAGGRTTTCGTTATTATCTTGTCAGTTGTTGGATTTTGAAAAAAAAAAAATTTTTAGTGTTCTTAATCAATGCTAATACCTACTATTAGTCTCCATAGACTGTAGTCATGATTATAATTTATTATTAATGAATATTGAGTATTTTCATTTTTATGATAAAAATATTTTTTTTTTTTATCAAATTACTTCTTATATATAAAATAAAATCAATATATATATTATATTATACAAATGTATTAGTATCATACTAGCTGTTTGTGTATTACTTATTTCGTACATTTTGTGTTTTAATGAGTAATGACTGATATTCCAATTCGTTTTCAAGTAATAGGGATTATTAGTTAATTACCACTTATACTTAAAAGTTGAGATATTTGATCAAATTATCAGTTAGRTCACCAATAGTTAAAGTTATAGACACCAAGACAGACTCTGAGTAATTAATTTATGTGATACTTAACATATTTTGAACAAACCGGTTCAAATTTTTATTTGAAGTTATAAAAAAAAATTCCAACTCAACTTAAGTTACTGTTGTAATCAAACTAATTTTTAACTAACTATATGTTAGGAATTTGTAAATTTCAGAAACTAACTTATATTCTAACTTAGTTAATTTTTGTATTAAAGTATTACATTAACTTTAAATAATTCAAAAAAAAAAACTTACTTTTCCAGCTTTGTCGATATCTATCAACTTTAAATAAAATATATTTAAATTACCCCCACCTTAGTCATATTAAATAATATTTCTTGAGGTAAACAGTTATAGTTTAGTAGTTTTTTCTGCAATATTTTAGTAGGCAGTTAATTTGATTACTTATGAAAATAGATAGTAAATTTATTTATTTTTATAAACTGTTTTGATTTTTTGAGGATTAATTTTCATTTATCAATGATATTTCTGATTTCAAAAAATGAACGCATAATGAGTTAAATTTTGAAATACATCTCTGTAGGTAGGTAGGTATATACTATAATAKACATAATGTAATAATTCAAAATTCAAAATCAATTCTTTATAATTATCATATATTTGCAAACAAATAACAAATAGTAACATTTCGAACATTTCAAAGATCAGCAGTATTGCAGAAAGTAATTAAAACATTTTAATATAATTTCGTTTGAATTATTCTCAGAATAAATTAAAATATAATCAACATTAAACTGAATATTAGTGCAATGTATCCGTATTAATTGAATTAAGCAGATATATTATGTATTATATACCACAAACATATTGATATTATTAACACCGTGAGCAACCATGTAAATTTGATCACGAATATTAATATTATCCATTAACACGAGGTCACTATATATAACATCAAAACAACTATAAAAATACTTTGAACTTTGAAGTACATAAAATATATTAAAAATTATAATTTGTTCCATAGATGAGTTACTAAATATTTTAGTAGATTATAATAATTTATAGCTAGAAAATATATTTTTTAATGTATGAAAACATAATTAAATGTCGACGTGATTATATCAATAGTTTGGCTATTTTACGTAGACAATAAGGCCTGACGTTTGTTAATCTTAAAATAATTTCGCTACACTGTAAAATAATGAATGGGTGTGTACAGTGAATGTTCTCTCTGCGTTTATAACATTTTTTATAAATAAAAAAAATTAAATAAATAAATAATATTAACAACATTAATAATAAAAATTAAATTAAATCAAATCGCCGTTATTTCGAGTCACTCTCGAACTCCTTGATTTGTAAAGACTAGACACATACGGTTATAATAACATGATACTAAATAATAATTTTTAAAACGCAAGATTATCAACTATCCATGTGTGTACTTATAAAATATAATATACAGTGTTTAAATAAATTACAATTTAAATAGTTCTTTATATATATGATCATCATACGTGAATTAAATATTACTCTACCTTTACCTATGTCTTATTTAATAAAAGTTTGTATTGAGGAATTGACAAAATAGATATTATAAAAAGTACAGAAATCGTTTGCAAACGAAAAATGAAAAAAAAAATTTGGTCCCAGCCAGTAATGGTCGATAAAAATACGTCACATATTATATAATGTGGTATATTATATTGTGTACGATAATATACCGTCCGCGACATTTTCGTGACGGCCTATATAGCTATAATACACACGCGTAAAGTCGTGTAAAATTCCGACGATTTCCTGCTGGAGGGCACAAAAGGATAACATGAAATAAMTATGACTTCAACAGACCACAAAAGGACAGCAATTTAACTGCAACAGGCGCGTAATAATATAAGCGTCTGTTTCAGGCTGCAGATGTGCAGTGAAATAACTACGCCACCAAGGTCCGGTCAGAGGGATGTTTCGAGAGCGGAACACGTGGGCGTGGCTGCGGCCTGCAGGCCTTTGAGCGTGCGACTGACGAGCGCCGCGGACCTGGGAACGACCGATGTCCCTTGATATTCCTCGTCTTCACGGCAGTCTTCCTGTATGGTCGAAGCGAGCACGTTCGATTTACGGAACGACGAGCCAGAAGGCGTTCGCCTGAAGTGGCCGCCGGCCCCGGTCGACAATAACGGAGCGTGGACGGCCCTCGGCGGCGGCGGCGGTTGCTGGAGTCGCACCACGGCCGATTGTTGCGCGCGCCTGCCGCCCGCCATGTTGGTCTGCAACAAAAGCCGTTTGAAGTCGTACCGTGCGGCCGACCGGTCGTCGCCGCGAGGCCGGTATCGGTCCGACTGACGTTCCGGTGCTCGCCGCACCACAGCGGCGGCCTGTGGTTGCGTTTGACGCTGTGTCGCTTGTACCGGGGCAGTGACGGCCACCGTCGCAGGTTGTTGGCCGAGCAACCGCTTTTTCGACTCGTGAATGGCCGCGTACAGGTCCATGGCCGATCGCCCGGACGCCGGACGTACGTACGGTTGCTGCGCCGCGAGTGTCCGGTGTTTGTCGCCGGGAGGAGACTGAGGTGTCGGCGTCCGTTGTAGCTTCGGGTCGTGCGTTTGCGGACGACCATTCGGGCTTGTGCGGCAGTCTCGTATCGGCGATATGTTGTTGCTGCTCATGTCGATTCGGCCGGCGCTTCGGTCGTTCTTCACCGGCGTGGACGCAGATACGTTCCGTTCGTGGCCGACGCTGCGTTCGCGGCCACTGTTGTCGCTATTGATCGACGTCGAGGCGAGTGGTGTACCACGGCTCGTATCTAAAATGTGCACACGGAAAATCGGATGTTACACATGCTGTGAAAGTTTATGGTTTAGGTTCAGAAAGGTACAATACTTAAGTATCGTTTACCTAACTTATGTATGGGCGAAGGATGTCGGGAAGCCAAGTGTTWGGTTTCTGTTGTGTGACGGCTGGGACATCGATGGCTGATTTTCATGTCTCGAGTGGTCGGATTGAGGGATCTAGTGAATGGGATAGGGATAGGAGAGATTTTTKGAGTACTTATTATATTKCAACTGCCAACTCGTGTAATTTGCTAACTACCTATACGGGCTATACCTACTAATAAAGTAATATCATACAATATAATATAGAATCATTTGATAAATMATTTTCTTCCATAATACATAATATGGATTGAGGACTTTATAAACATTTTTACAAATAGTATCTACCTWAACTTTTGTCGTTTTTATTTTATACTTTTAAATGTATCATATATTTCAACCAAAGAGGGCTTATGATTATTGTATACTTTAAAGAATCAAATTGTATTATTTAAATTCATTGAATAAGAGAGTATAGTGATCGCGGAGWCGTAGACGTCTTTTTTTTAGATTTTTTGTTTTTGATTTTGGTATGTTGTTGCCAAAGTAAATCTACTGTCCATATTATGGACTGTCAAGTATTAAGTTCTATTTTGAATTGATAGGGTAACATTGTTTAATGATAGCTATAACGGCTTTCATATTTACTAAGGGTGAAATTTATTTGAACCTATTTACTTTCTATTTTTAAGCTAATTCGAATKGTTTTGGTGAAATTTTTCTCATGTCATGGGTTGCTCTATTTATTAGGGTCTTTGTATAGTGGTATACTATGGTGCAGATGTTTCATCTGAATAAGCCGATACATTGCAAGACTTTGGCCTTTGGGAAGAGCATCAATGTAAATATTATAACTAGTTTAAGCGGCAGGTAGCTTTTTATGATTTCTAATCTTATAGACTATAGCTGGAAGAATGAGCTAACGTTCTTTTTTTTTTTTTTAATTTGGTATGGTTTTTTTTGTTGATTGGAAAATTTTTTTGTGGATTAGTATCTAATGTTGGTAATTAGCTTATTGGRCGGTAAGCGGTCACTAAATGTTTTGTTTTATCTAATTAAGACATTAGTATTATGATTTATGATTGAGATTTTCCACATTGGCCGGGGAAGGAGAGCGAAGTAGGATACCAAGCCAGAAGCCTAAGTATTGAACATTTTAAATGCAAGTAAGAAATAGAAAGGTTTTGCTCTTTAATTATTTTTAATTAGTTTTGTAATGTAAAAACAAGAAGTACTGTATATCTTGTAACGAGTGTTTTCGTATCGTTTATTCCTTACTTAGCTTATTTCTCAACAACGCATTTATGATTCATCATTCTCGTTAAACATACTATAAATCCAATTGTTCGCGCTGAGCGATTCGAAAAAAAAACTTCTCTTTTATGGTTTACCATACTTGGTACACGAGTATGTATCTAATAATTTAATATTGCCTTTAATATAATATTATGATGTTCGGTGCGGGTGATTCRTTGGGTTTTCGGTGCGGGCATTTTATAATTTATAAAAATAATGATATACACCTACGCGGGTGTTCAATGGGAAACGTTGGAACAAATATACCGGTTAGCCAAACACACGTATAGAACGGTGCAGGAAGGCTAAATTAGAAAGTAGGAGTTTACGTATAAYTTTGTATTGTACAGAAAAAATACCCAACGAGTCGAACTTATAAAGATTATATGTAGGTACAAAAAATATATAAAAACAACCTTTGTAACTAATGGTATTATTTTCATTACACTTTGTCGTTTTTTCGTTATCAAGTAAGTATAATTAACATTAATAAAGTCATTTAAATACCRGGAAGGGGATTTTTTAGGATTTATAAGCCATCGACATTCCAGGATTTTAGAGTACCTAGGTATCTAGAAAATTTGCAAATTCTTAAATTTAGTTGTGAGCTTCACAATATTAAAATATTACGATAAACAATGATTGAAGACAGTATGAATCTTTCTTATTAGCTGTTCTTTTACGTACATTAAAATAGGTATTCAGTTAATTTTTAGTTCAATTAGACACTACCCTTTTGGTAGACATGGTTAAAATGTGAAAAAAAATAGAAAATTGTATCTACATGCAGATTACATCGTAATTATAATTGTATGTACAAAATTCATGAATACCAAAAAAATTTTAACATTTTCGTCTCATGTTTCATGTTAAATTAATTTAATTGTTATCATTCATCATATTGGTCATACAATATTCACCCGTAGATATGTTATATATTGTGTTTCCCATATAAATTAAATAATTTTCAAATTTTCTAGACACTATGTTAGGTATATATAATATTAAATAGTTTGTGTGTACTATACACAATAATTATACTACTGGGCAGTAATTGGTACGTGACTGTCTTACCTTATTTCGTTAGTCTAGTTTGTTAATAATCTTCAAATACCATTAAGCTACCAGTGAGAAAGTCGAAACTTTTGGTAGCCAACAAAACAAAAAAATGACTAGTTTACCCAAGCGATTTGTGATGAGTATATAAGCTTAAATAAACGTGTGAACAATATACATATACCTGTGATTATTGATCTGTGTGAATATGCAGAATATGGATTAATAAAAATAGTAAATACCGTAGCCGTGAGACACTCCCAATATTATAAAGTATAAAATCAAGTCATCTCAACAACGTATAACAATAAATAAATAAAAACCGTTACTCAAATAACATAAATAAAATCCGTTTAATTAGTATAAAAAGTGCATGCAAATCCAAAATAATATATTTACAATAATTATTCTATACAGTCTACTCACAATCATTATTGCACTCGAGGTCTATATCATAGCATATTAAATAATATAAAAAAAGTATTAAGTAATAACTTCTATAAACGCAAAATTATTTAACTACGAAAACTTAATCTATTGCCTACTTGCATAAATACAAAAACAATATTTTATACTCGATAGTTCACTGTTGGTGRTATAAAAAATACTCATGTTGTAAATTATTATGTGTAGAAAACTAGTAATGAAATTTGAGGTTATATCGATTAACGACAAATACCTTATTAATGTATATTTGTACCCTAACTTTAAATTGTCCATAGTAAAACGAATTTGAAATAATTAGGCGTGTCTGTGTTTTTAGTTTGTATTATTGGTAKGTTATTTTTTTGTTCTGCACTTATTAATTYTTACTACGTATAGGCTATAAGTAAGTACCTAATATAATAGCGTACGCAAGTWGTTATTTGGGGTTATGTATTTTTGTATGCTATTAAAATATATAGTATTAAAAGTATGAGATTTCAGATAATGGGGTATAACCTAAAAACCTTTTCTTGGCGTGAATATTATAGGAATTGAGTTTAATTATAATTAATGAGAACAATCGGCTAATGAATACAAAATAAAATCCTTCAGTATTTTGATGTTTAAAGAAGGTTTTCGTTAACCTATGTAACGATAATAAAAAATTGTAGGGCTAATGGTTTGGGTAGATAAATGATTTTTATGTTGCAGAAATTATTAACGTATATTGCTACTGTTTTTGGAAAAAGAATAATATTTTATCACTGTAAAAAATAGTAAAATAAGAGGTATTCATTATTTTAATCATATAATGAATAGGTTGCTTTTAAAAAGAGAGAAATAATAAATGCTTTTAATAGTAAACGGAAGTCAGAAAAAAAACTAAAAGTCTATAATTCTCACTAACAAGGCGTGAGAATAACTTTTTTGTAATTAGCAATAAATGAGCATATGACAATATCATCTTTCATTTCATTATTCAATTTTTATTTAATAGGTAAGTAATTTTATTTTAGACAAAAAATATACYAAAATATTACCTGCCGCTTGAAATGAAAATAAATTTCAAGGAATTATGATTAAAATTTTGTGTTGAATCAGATAGTTGAATTATGCAAAGCATGAAATCAAACTTTTTCRCTTTTACTAAGAAAATCTAATAAAAAAAACTTTAATGTTAGGTGTACTTAGTTAGATGTGAATAATAAACATTATAMAATTTAAAACTTTATCATATTGTAGGTATTGGAAATCATATTATTTAGTATAGTACCTACTATAATAGTATAATGTGATATATGAATAGGACCATCGAATTATTTTAACTCGTGTGCAGATTGAAAAAAAAGTTCTAAGAAAAAGTAAATAAATAGTATTTTGTTAAAATGCATTAAAATATACTAGGTATTTTCAATGTATATTGAGATTGCTACAGTATATATCTCAGATTTTAATCTGTGTGTGTATAATTTAATTTTGCATGCCATAAATAATTTTAATATAAAACAATTAATATAATATATGCATAATGTACATTTAGTAATAGCACCGTTATCTTGGTCAATCCAGTCGAGTAATGTTAAATTATAATTGTTATTTGTTTCATTTAGGTTAAGAAAAGAAATAATCGTAAAATATACTGTGTTAGGTATTTTACCTACCTAATATTCCTCTAAACTATTTTTCAGGAAAAAATTAAGAATTTCCTACTAGAGCTTAAAATGTTATGTTACATTTTTAACAAAACAAAAGAATTAATCAAAAATTATTGACATAATATTATTAACGAGGTAAATAAATAATGTACATAAAATAAAATAAAATAACTTTAAAATATATGTTTGTTAATTTTAGTTAGGCGTTTATGAGATTACGCAATGTTTTGTATTTATGTCCATTGTCCACTATTATATTTTTACTTGTACATTTTCTCAGAAACCAAACGTATTTGTATGAATATCGTGTAACGTTTGGACGTTTAACAAACATATCTTATTTATATACTTAATTTCTATGTGCAACATACATAAATATATATACAAATTTTTATATACAAAACCCAAAAGTTCATGCGATACACACCAAAACAGTCAATTAGCTTAAATAAAAAAAAATAAATTTAGGAACATAATTTAATTGTGTCTTTTCAATAATTATTAGTATTTTAACATTCGTTTTGTTATCCACGGTAATATAATCATGAATTATTCTGGTTAATATTGTATTACACCGATCCCAAGGGAGGAAAAAAATTACGAATTCGACCGATTCGGGTTCGTTCGACGGATAATAAACGTCTCCTCTCTGTTTTGGTTAGCGAAATAAAACAGTTTTCCAATGGGTCACCGAATAATAACTGATTGCTGTGTTATATAATATTATACTACGGAAGGTAGGTGCTGTGCGCGAAACTAAATACAAATAATCAGTGACGACAAGGAATAATATTACATGACACAAACTATATATACATCCACTAAAATACGGTGCGCAATATAATATCAGTGCACTATAGTCGTTGAAAATAATTATTATAAAACAGCGAGTGTGGCCACGCCTAAGTGTGTGTGTGTGTGTGTTTATGTGTGAGATTCAGAGTGTCTACCAAATATCCGTCCTGTCCATAAAATGATTACCTTGAGTGGTCTCGCTGCGGGCCTTTTGCAGCGCCATCAGCATGTTCGGGGACTTGCCGAGCATCCGGGGACTGGTGGCGTTGGCCTGCCTGTAACTGTCGCTGCGCTTCACCACGGACTTGATCTCGTCCAGGCTCGTTTCCAGGCACTCGGTGGGGTCTTGCATCCGGACGTACGCGCCCCGCACCACCTCCTTGGGCGACAGACTCCGCCGGGTCGGCGAGATCAGCGGCGACACGGGCTTGCCGACGGTGTTGGACGGACACCGGCCTCCGTCCGGCAACACGACCGCCCGGGACGCGTCGGCCCGGTGTCGGCCGAGCGCCGTGGCCACAGTCAGCGGTAGGCCCACGGTCGTCGTCTTGCAGGAGCGCCTCTGGCCCGGCGAACACGGTAACGGTATGGGCACCAGCGGTTTCAACTGGGCGGCGGCCGATGTTTTACGCTCGGCTTGGAGTTTCGGCTTGGCAGCAACGATGTGCAGGGCGGAACTGAGCACACYGACGCCGTTCGGCTGTTTGGTCACCGGTCGGACGTTCAACGGAGAACGGGGTATGACCTGGAGTAACACAGACAAAGCARTCAATACAAAACGTTATTCAAGTGGTATTATAGATACGATTCGATGATATATTATTATTATGGTGTAAGTTATAACTGACGTCAGCCACGTAGATTGTTTGTATACACAATATTAATTTTATAGACGGAACATCGACCAAATAACTGCAGGGTATAATTCAGCTGGGATAACGTCGAGTGACACCGTTGGCGAGTGAGTCGACAATCGAGTCGATATGACAGATTGGCTATGAAAATTAACACAGTGCTATGGTTGGAAAATGAAAGTAAAACACATTTTTGAAGAAATCTCGTAGGCTTTTTTGGAGTATTTGGAAAACAGCGTACGAGTAAATTCAATCACAMAATGTACTAAACTGATTGGCCGAGAGATGCCTTCAATAATAATATTGKTATCTTTTGTTTATATAGTATAAATGTTAAATTTTTTAACTKGAATTTTCATAATAGAACCAGATCTTAACTAGAAACAACTATAATCAGCAGCCGATTAGCATCAACGCATKTTACAATGATTCGTGTTTACGACTTAGTACACACGAAACAATACACCAACAAGCTAATAAGCTGTATAATGACMMCGCGAGAYCCTACCGGTATGAGATGTGRCTTTGAAACGAAATTTAAGTTTACCTACTTAACTCTAATCGTTTCGTTGATGTCGTGTCAAAATTAGCCACGTGAAACGCCCCCTYGATAAAAATATAGTGGTATAATATATGTTGTATTTTAACACGGTAGCTCAGGACCATATTAATCCAATTATAAGTTTTCGTTACGTATTTCACCGCGTGGCGCTAACTTTCCGTCTAACCATCGAATAATAATAATTATATACTAAATAATAAGCCGCCCACGACATCCGTGTGACATGTTATTAACATTTAATATACTGTTGTACACGGACGACATGCTACACGCCAGAAATGTATCGGTACGTACCTGCGACATAACGCTGTTGCAGTTATCTTTGACGGGCAGTGACCGGACGTTGGCGTTCACGCACGGACCAGGCTCGAACGTGTTGGTCGTGTGCGTCTTCTTCCGGCGCTTCAAGCTGTCCGACGTGTATATGACTCGGCCCTCGGMGTTTAGCGTCACTCGGGCGCCCGCTGGCCTGGGTCGCTCGGACGTGCCCACGGCCGGCAGTTCGTCCAGGTGTACGAATCCCTTGCTCGTCGCTGGTTCCGGTGGCTCAACCGTGGCCTTTACTGGTTCGGGTATCGCGTAGTGCGCCAGCGTGACGTATTCGCCGTAATCGTCCGTGTCCGGCACGATCACCCTCATGGCGGCGGTGCTCGTCTTCAGACTCACCTCGTCGTCGCTCATCGGTGGCGTGATGACGCACATGGACGGTATGCGGCTGGTGTTGATGGTGGTTTTGACCCGGAGCCTCTCCACCCGATCGACACCCTCCAGGTCGGAACACTCGGACATCTCCAGGTCAACTGACGGGTTCGTCACCGAGTCCACCGGCGAACTGCACGTGTTGTGCCCGCTGTCCGGCGAATCRCCGCCTCCGTGTTCYAAGCACGGCCTGGGCTTGACATCGATCATCAGTCCCTCCTCTTTGTACCTAGTCACATTCTCCTTGGTCAGTCGGGACGGAGCCGTTTTCGATTTGTCGTACAACGCCATCGAGGAGTCCTTCGGGCCGTGCGCGATGTTCCGGTCGGGCAGCGAGCCGCCGTAAGCGACGTCCGCCGACCGTTCCGACAGCTTGCTGCCACCCCTTTCCGGGACGTTCGGTGGTGACACCATCAGCGACGTGCACACGGTACCGGCCGAGCTCGCAGTGGTTGATGTGCTGCCCCGGCCGAAGACATCGTATTCGCTTTCAGCGGACGACGACTGGAAACTGGGCGTGAGTGCCGACGTTGAGTGCAAAGCGGACATCGGTTGTGGTGGATCTTCCTCCCGAAGCGTCTTCAGACCGCTGTCCACGTGGAACGAAGTGTAGTAACCTTCAGTATCACACGAATACGTAGAACCAGTTTCACCTTCGTCGCTGGTCACCGAACTTCCCCCGTGGTACGTCGGTTTCGTGCTACCACTGCAACTGCTAACGCTAGACCTGAAAACGCACGTTTACGGGTCGTATTATATAGGTGATATTCATTGAATTAATATAATAATATATGGCATATAATTAATATCGTTTTTAATTTTCATTTGTATATGACGTGTTATTTTGCGATTTCAAATACTTACCACTCATCATACTTTTATAACGGCCCTATAATAATAATCATATACATATATATTATATATTATATATATATATTAGTTAATTGTTCTTCTTATTATTATTTTAATTATTTACTTTGGCCACTGTTCGTCAAGATTCCAAATATTAAAGATCTTTATCATATTCGTGTATACATATATAGAACYATTCATATTGTCACTATAGGTTGTGATTAAGTTTTTAGATAATAATTTTCTTATTTTTTATTGTTTCTATATCAGTTTAGATTATTTATTATCAACCTATAGGGCTTATGACTGTATTAGAAAGCATAAATTAATTGTATTGTGTCACCAACTGATTAATCGTAATAATATATATATGTGCATGTTATATCTAAATAAGAAACATTTTTTAGTGYCACAAAATAATGTTAAATCTAATTTTTGTTACTGGTTAAAGTGACCTAAAAGGTTGAAAGTCGCTGCGGTTTAGATAATATAGACTTTGATCTGTACTCTGTGAACGTACATAATTATACCCATTACAATTCTTAATAGGAGGTATTAATATAAATTAAGTAAAAAATAAATACATTAACAATGAGTTTAAAAATTCCTGATAATTTTTTCATTATAGAATATAACACAGCTATTATAATGGCTGTTAACATTTTGAAAAAGTATCTAAATATTTTCTCTTCACATAAATCATTTTTTTTTATATATATATTGGAAATATATGAACAATACAATGGGGATCTTATCTTCAGTCTATGTATACATTAAATATACTGAAATTTAAAAATATGATAGTTTTATTTGAATGTGTCTGGTTATGTTTGATTGTTTGTATACCAATAAGATATATTGTACTCTTAGTTTTATTTAAAACGTATACATTTTATATTGCACTTTTTTAGCGTTAGTGTATCATTTAAAAAAAATATGTATTTATATTATTTATTTAATTATTTACATACCTGTATACAATGTTTATAGTTAAGATTGAAACCTAACCCTGTGAGGATTTTAAAAATTGGATTCTTAATTATTAACAATATCAGTGTAATTTTTAGTACCTGCTCGTTTTTAAAAAAGTTTACTTGATATTTTTGACATATAAATAAAATATACAAATATGAATGGCTTTTAATTTATATGGCTCCAGAAATGTTTAATTCACCAGATAATGAAATTATGTAATAAGTCCATTGATCAATGATCATACCTTGGTATATGACTAGTCGAAGTAGACTGTCCACTCTCTGAACTTGCTGACCAATTTCCAGATGAAGAATGCACTGGTTCGTCCTTATCCCATTTTCTTCTAGCCAACCCAACTCTTCCTTTGTCTCTAAGTTTCACTGCTGCCGACGATGTTGGTTCTATGTTTTTAAATTGTTTCAATCTCATTCTTCCCCAATCTTTCAACAAATCAAGGTTTGACCTTTTCTCGCTCACCACTACGGTCGTGCTGCTGGACACGATGTCGTCAGAGTCTTTATTACTATCGGATAATGAGCTAAAAATAAAAATAAACATGTTGTTTAGAGGTTCAACATTTCGGTTAAGCCCAGTTATAGTATACCCAATAACGGCTTCTAATTCTTTTTGATCAGTTCCAGCAATCGTATTCCTCCTCTTTCCTCTGGGCCTTTTGCTTTTTCGTCGTCTAACAGACGTTTCATATTCAACGTTCTGTAGAGATCTCCTAAGCGCGCTCATACGGTTAAAACTCCTGCCGGATACGTCAACTTCGACTATTTGCGGCGGGAACCTAAAAAAAAAAATAGTTTGTGTAATAAAATAAAAATAAATATTGACTGAAAATGTGTACAAGTTTGTATCATTGAAGTATAAAATATTATCACTTACTTATGTGCGATGACCTGCTGCTGTTCTTCGGGCGATGGTAGTTTGTGGTCAATTTGATCTTCTGAAACCGGACTCGGATCTCTAGGTATCCTTGATGAACAATCAGGAGCTACAGTTATGTCTCCTAGAACTTCTTCCGATGTCCATGGRCGGAGATTGGTTATTGCCGCAGGCTGTGATATATAAATAAAAATTAAAGTTAAATCAAATAGAATTACAATATGGACGTATTGTCCTCAATAATTTATAATTAAGTGTAATTACGTATATTACGATATTATATAAGTTATATAAGTGGACTCTTTTTGTTGTAGCATTGTAATGATTTACGTAAGAGACAAGAGTATKAACAATGCTTAAACATTAAAAAAAATATTTTTAAACATGCATAATTTATTATTTTAAACATTTCGAATGAGTATTGTTGTTTATAATAATAATAAAATACCGAAGTGTTTTATGTAGGTACTTTAAGTATATCTAACGGCAATACGGCATGCACATGGTTGGTGTCCGAATCGAATGAATATATTGTTTTGTACATCTAACAACACAAATGCAACCTTGACCGGTACAATTGAGAATAGTCAGTAACGTTTGTCTTCCAATGAAACACTGTATGAGTATTCAGATGATTCAAGGGCAGGTTCGAGTATAATAAAACTTTCTCGCTGTATGAGCATTTTTATTTCAAAATTATATGCCTACCTAATTCAAAATTTTTGCTTTTTATTCTACCCGTATTACTTTTAATGAGTAAAAAAAAATATCAAGTTTAATAAAGGTGACAGAGAAACTAGGACAATGATTTGTTTACACATAATTTTTTTTTATCGTGAATTAATTTTATTCAAGAAATACAGTGGAATACATTACAACGTAAATGGATCACCAGCTGGTATTAAAAATAAATAGGCAAGTATCTAACAAAGTACCTACTATATTATTTGTAATTTCAATATGCATTATAAATATTATGTTTAAGGCGTTTAAGCACTTAACATAATATTATTCATTTTTAATTGCTCATACTTCATTATTTAWTTTTTTTGTTTTTAAAATTGATATCAACAAACATACCTAACTATTTTCTGCTAAATGTTAAATTTGTATACATTTTTTTTTTTTTTGCACATTATTGAATTTTTATAGAAACGGGTGTAAAAAAATCGTTCAGAGAACAATGAATAAAATAAATTGTTATTCTTCAAACGTTATACAATGTTTAGTTTTATGAGTCAATTAGATTATTGCAACCAGTAACCACCATGCTTAACACACCTGTTGCATCCGGTTTTAATTAATTTCTTCCTCTTACAAAAGTTTATATTTTTTTAAATATTTTTTTTCGTACTAACTTTTATGCGTGTAACAAAACAGATAGCATTATAAAACACATTTAATATCCAT